GTCAACAAAGAAATAATGAACTTAAATTGCCCTCCAGAACAAATGGACCTAACAGATATTTATAGAACACTCTAACTAAGAGGTGCAGAATATGTGTTCTTCTCATCAGCACACAAAACATTCCCCAAGCACATGATGTAGTTTAGATGTTTACCCAGCATCATTGACCTGCTTATTCAATCTGCCATAGGTTTTTGGTATACTTCTTGTTTTATTTTTTATTTTTTTGACTTAGGTTGAAATTGAAGACACATACACTACTCTTGGCCAACATCCTAGCCTAGTGTCCTACAACCTCAAGAAAGGGATTTGATTTACAATACCGTATTATTAACTATATTCAACCCACTGTGCAATAGAACATCAGAACTTATTCTAACTGTAATTTTGAATATCTCTGCATAGCTAGAAGAGAGGAATTTGAATGCTCCCAACACACAAAAAAGACAAATGTTTGAGGTGATTAATATGCTAATTACCCTGATTTGATCATTACACAATGTATACATGTATCAACACATTGCATTGTACACTATAAAAATGTAAAATTATTGTCAATTAAAAATTTTTAAAAAGAGCTTTGAAAAGTTTACAGAATACATATATATATAACTATGAATAAAATTTTTATATGTCTAATTAGATATATATAAGAAAATATCACTCAACTAAAGAAAATAAGCTAAGGGAAATAGAAACTGGGAATTCCAGAGTTAATATCTACATTGTTCCTATATTTTGTTTAACAATATCTGTTAATCATGAATGACAAGAGGATACTAATAAATACGCCAATCCTAGAAACATACACTGAACATCCTGTTACATGATTATTAGCATAATCTCATAGCAGCAGAAGAAAGATGAAAAGGAAACTGTAATTTAAAGGCTTCCTGATTAATCTGAAGCCAAGACAAATATATGGGATGGAAAAAAAAAAGGTGCGTATTCAAGAATGATGCTGATCATAAGACACTATGTTAAAAATTATTTTACTTGTCACCAGAGAAAAAATAATCCCATTCTAAGAATGTATTATTCTAAACTTTTTGATAAACACTTTAAAAACATGTTGTGTGCTTTGATGTGATTAATTAATTCATTTATTCCTTGTTTCAACGGACCAAATCTGTATTGAGCACTACATGAATATCCCCAGTAACCTCTAAGGGTATGGTAGCTGCTTTACACCCATAGTCATAAGGCGGTCTGCTCCACTTTCTGGCCACATCAGCAAAGCTCTAAGTTGACATCTGAAAATGTCATATGTGTGGGGGGTATGTGTGTGTATGCCACCTGAAAATTTGATATGTGTCTGTCAGCGGGGGGGGTGAGGGCCACAGAATACCACTAAGCCAAAAAATAAAGGAATAAAATCATGTATTTTGCATCAACAAGAATGGTACTAGAGATCATTATCCTTAGTGAAATCACTCAGATACAGAAAGGAAATAACTGCATGTTCTCACTTAGAAGTGGGAGCTAAACAGTGAGTATACAGGCACATACAGAGTGGAATAATAGACACTGAAGACAACAAAAAAAAAAGGTGGAAGAGGAAGGGTGGTGAGGTTTAAAATACTACCTATTGGGTATAATGTACACTACTCAGGTGATGGGTACACTAAAAGCCCAAACTTCACCTCTACACAATACACCCATAGAACACAACCATACTTGTACCCCTTAATATATGAAAATAAAAAATTAAAGTAAAAAATATTTTTAAAAAGATAAAAATTGTGAAATTCAAAGTTTCAAGTCCTTAGTATCTGATAGTCCTCTGATCCTAGGAAACTGTGAGACATCTGGAATAAATTTTAACTAAACGTATAGCCTGGCACCAAATGCAGCCAAGGTTAGCTTAAGTTAGTCAACCACAGCTTGGCAAAAAACATGGGAGAAGTAAATGCTGATCTGCTGTATGTCACTGATATTTCTATGGTTATTGGTTACGCCACATTATTCTAGCAATAGTTGATTAAGCAGCTAGGATCAAATCATGGAAATGCTTGACTAGGAGAATATAATAATGTGGCAGTTAATAATCTGTCTCTGCAACTAGACTGCCAGAGTTCAATATCCAGTTCTATTGTTAATAATCATGTGAATTTTGGCCAAATCAATTACCCTGTGTCTCGGTTTCTTCAACTGTAAAGTAAGAAAAATTACGGGGTATTTTTGAGACTTAAACAAGTTAATCATTTAATATTTGAAAGCACAATATCTGGTACATACTAAGTACTCAACTAGAATTCACAATCATTATTCAATACAGAAATGAAAAGTTCAGCTTTTACTCAGCAGGCCAATCGTTTTTAAGTATACTTTCATGAAACATAATTGTTCTGTCAGCTGTTACTGCTTTCCTTTAGAATTCTGTTAGTCTTTTCCCAGTATACAGATGAATTTAAGTAACTTGACACAAATTTCTCATTCTAAGAATTTTTTTCCCTCATATGTTTATCTCTTGTGCTTGGTAACTTGTTTGCAAGCCAACTGATAAGAAGTAAATGAACAAGTATATTAAAATTAAGAGAAAAATTCATAAAAAATCAACTTAGTTTGAAAGATATTTTAAATCGACATTTGTGCTCAAAATTGTACTTTGTATCACACAAGAAAAACAGAATATTTTCTCCTAGGAAAATTTTTCTTCATTCCTATGACAGGCTTCAAGATGTCATCATATAATGATGTTTTACAAATAATATGGTATTCTAAAAAGAGCAAAATAACTTCCAGGTATGTTGCCTGCTTAAGATCACTTTTCTTGAGAATTCAGTATCTCTGAAAAATCTGTTTGTTTCTTCTTGTTGTTGTTTAGTTGGTTGGTTGCTATAGGAAGAGAGATCTGAACTTAAACCGTTTATCTTGGAAGTAATATAGCCAGTTTAAGTGAAGGTAGAAAGCGCTGGGCACCAAACAGGTTAGTATGTAGCCCTAAGAGCTCTAGAAGCCTATAGGAATGGATTAATGGGTAAAAAGTTAGGGAAATGGACAGGATATGAAAATACCTGCAAGCAGGTAGTAAGGGAAAGGAAAGAGATTCTTAAATTTCAGTGTACCTGAAAATCACTCCAAGAGTTTGTTAAAAATGCATATATAGTCCATGTCCCCACTTCCAAAAACTCTGTCTAGAATTTCTGAAATAGTGATACAGAAACTTCAAATTTAACAAATTGCCTTTCTGATGTTGTTTTGGGTTGAGAGCTACATTTTGAGAAACATTAGAACATGCCTTTCTCTAATCATCTGGAAACAATAGTTTGACTCTAAGATTTCAGAATCATTTAGCACTTTGCATGTCCCAGTTATTGCCAAGGACTGCTGCAGATGGGTATTTGGGGTAATGAATGATACCAAGGTTTTATGCCTGCACATCTGGGAGAATTATGCCATTAATCATGATGAAGAACACATGACAAAATCAGATTTTGGAAAGAAGGAAACATAATGCACGTTTTCTTTTTCTCTTTCCTTTTTTTGACAAGTTCGATGTTGAATGTTTTGGGGAGGTGGCATTAACTTCTAACTCTATTCCATTTTTTGTGGGGGCAGGGAGAGGCATTAAATACAAACTCTGTTCCATTTGTAATGTGGAATGAAGTTCTGATTAAGCAAGATGGGAAATCACCAGGACTACTTTATTACTGATAAATACCATTTGGAAGCTGACGTTAGGAAGGGTGTACCACAAATGAGCTTCTTTACACTGAAACTCAACATTAAGATTCCTAATCCTTGCAATTCTGCCAGTCAGAAGCAACTGCTTCACCCTGCTCCCTGAAAGCAGCTAAAAGATATACAATCCTGTCTACTCTACCTAAAAGAGCAATTTACAAAATTTGTAGTATAGGTTGTATGTTTCATTTTAAAAACACAATTCAGATTTCAAAATTAGTGTGATTATTATCACCACTTGAACCTAAGTTCTATGAAGCAAGGATCAGTCACATTTGTTCACCACTCAATAATCAGAATGTAATCCCAGCACTTTGGAAGGCTGAGGTGGACAGATCACTGGAGGTCACGAGTTCCAGACCATCTGGACAACATGGTGAAACCCAGTCTCTACTAAAATATAAAAATTAGTTGGGCATGGTGGTGCATGCCTGTAATCCCAACTAGTAAGGAGGTTGAGGCAGGGGAAATCACTTGAACCCAGAAGACAGAGGCTGCAGTGAGCTGAGATTGCGCCACTGCACTCCAGCTTTGGTGACATAGCAAGACTCCATCTCTAAATAAATAAGAGTAGGAACGCTAAACAATTTGTTGAATAAACACATTTTAATAAGTTGGCAAATATTAATTTCTGATCTTCTTCAGATTTTTCGTTTGTTATCTGCACAAATCAAAGTTCCATATTACTATTAAGTCAAACAGGCAAGGAAGACATTATTGAAGATTACTGGCAGTCGGGAAAGGGGATAGAACTCTTCTAAGCTCAACTTAAAAAAAGAAAAAGCAGTAGTGAAGAGTTTTTAAGAGCTATGTTGGGAAAATCATGGGCTACCTGAGTTTGCTGATTGAGGTTACCAAAAAGGAAAAGTAAATTTTCTCCTCCACGAGAGGAGGTGGTTTTAAGACTTGAAGGGAGAAGCCCACAGTGGTTAGGCTCCTATCCTCCCACAAAAAAGAGATGGCTATCTTCCTTGCTGATTATATTTCAAAGGCATGGCTTCCATAACCTTGAGATAGTTTTCAACTACAAAACTGGCCACAACTTTTTAAAAACATTTACATCTGAAAAGAAAAGCGGAAAAAAATTACAATGCTAAAGTTTTCTAAAGTAAACACTCTTTAGAAAGGGAGGTGAGGTACCCACATGCTTAAGGCTGGTAATCCAGCTGAGGGAAACTAAGTCCCTCTGGCTTACTGCTTAAATGTGTTATTGCAGTTTGACACCAATAAATTCAGATTATGAGCTTCCATTCTCTCAAGGTTCCTGCAGGAGAGAGTTGCTGTACATATTACACAATCTATTTTTGGCTACTTACTTTGTTAATACGCATTTTTGACCGCTCCTCACTAACAGTGAAAAGAGCAAAAAGCTTCCAGAAGACAAGTCCTTGCGCGTTCCACAAGTGCGCGTGCGCACTCGGCACTAAGCCTCTGACGTCACCGAGGGCACCCGCCCCTACAAGTTAGCAACCGAAGGCGTCCTTAGCAGCAGTGGCCGCTGAGATGCACGAACTTCCGGTTCTCCCGGCAGCTGCAGCTGCCAGAGCCTCTGCCACCTGCCACGACCGGGCCTCTCTCTGGCGTTTGGTCACCTCTTCTTCATTTTCTTCTGCGCCTATGGTCCCTCTTGGAGCCAGCGTGGCGGGCCCGGCAGCCCCCGGGTGGTGAGAGAGCAGTCTGGAAACGATGAAGGCCTCGCATTGCTGCTGCTGTCTCAGCCACCTCTTGGCTTCCGTCCTCTTCCTGCTGCTGCTGCCCGAGCTAAGCGGGCCCCTGGCAGTGCTGCTACAGGCAGCCGAGGTCGCGCCAGGTCCTGGGCCTCCTGACCCTAGACCACGGACATTGCCGCCGCTGCCACCGGGCCCTACTGCTGCCCAGCAGCCAGGCCGTGGTCTAGCTGAAGCTGCGGGGCCGCGGGGCTCCGAGGGCGGCAATGGTAGCAGCCCCGGGGCCGGGCTTGAGGCGGAGGATCACGGAGGGAAGGCCGGGGAAGGCTCAGTGGGTGGCGGCCTTGCTGTGAGCCCCAACCCTGGCGACAAGCCCATGACCCAGCGGGCCCTGACAGTGTTGATGGTGGTGAGCGGCGCGGTGCTGGTGTACTTCGTGGTCAGGACGGTCAGGTGAGGCAAAGCCTCGGTGGGGCTCCCCCGTGGGCCTGAGATGCGCAGGCCAGTGATTTCCTCCAGCAAGGCTGACTTCTGTGACCCTTTCCCTGTTCCCCAACATCAGGGGTTCCTGCCTAAGAATGTAACTTGACTGTCTTAAAGGCCTGTTACTTTTGGGGCAATTTAAGCCCACAACTAATTGCTGCCTTTTGTTTATAAATTAGCGCCCTACCTCCAAATCTCTTCATCTCACCTACGAGCCACGTCAGCTTCAAAGGGCACCCTTTCTCTGATGGGAATATAATCTTTATTTCCTTGAATTTGACAAGTTTGCCTTGTAAAATACTTCTGCCTTTCTACTCTACATTTTGCCAGTGGTCAAAATTTTGCCAATCAGAATGCAAAGTCTTTAAAGAGAGGATATCTATCTAATAGGTTTGTGAGTCTTATAAATTTTTGTATAGTGCTGCCACTTAATAGGAATTTAATATGTATTTGAGTGGATTGATAGTAGTATAGAGGTGCCTTATTATGGCTATTTTATTTTTATAAAATTCGGGAGAAGAAAAGTTCTTCCTTACTATCAGTGTTTCCTTACTAGTATTAGCCTTTAATCTGCCACGTAAGTAATTCGCTTCTACCTAATTACTTGAGAATCACCTTCCTGAAGAGTTGGCAAAAAGAGCCAAGACCTCACAATTAGGAGAAGCCAGCAAAGAGACAAGGTGAAGGAAAGCTGTTAGCAGTTTCCTTCATTGTAAAATAAGTGTAGAGGGTAGGTTTGCAGATGGCTGGTTTTTTGTTTTCCAAATTACTGCACATTTTTCCCATAATTATGTTCTGTATTATAATTTAAAATATTTCTTTTAACTGATTATTTAAAGCAAAAGTTTCCCTTTAAACAAGTCATTATGATCATGAATGGAAAACCAACATCACTTGGCTGGTTAAAAAATAGTGTAAGCCAGAGGTTCTTGACATGTGGGCCAGGGAACCACAGAGGTGGGAGTTTCACTTAGACCTCTTAGACCTCTTCAGGGGATCTACAGTATTAAAATTGTTTTCAAAATAATACATGCTGTTAAAGGCCTTACAAATAGTTGATAGATATTGTTTCAGATTCCACATTGCAACTAACTTTGAAGAAACTGCTTGTCAAGTTTTGGTGTAGTAGTATGAAAAAGAAATAACCAGTAGTATATAAAAAGGCTGTTAAAATGTTTCTTTCTATTACAAGTTTATATCCGTGTAAAGATGGAATGACATTGTATGTTTCAACCAAACAACACATTGCAAAGGATTTAATGGAGAAGTCAATATAAAAATCCGTTTCCTATTTTTGTTTCTATTTTTTAACAACTTCTATCACCTTAAGCCAGATATTAAAGGGATTTGGAAATAAAAATCTAAATGTCATTGATTTTACATTTTTTTCTCTTTTGAAAATATAGTTACTTTTCATGGGAGTTATGTTAACCTGTAATGTGTTTACTCTTATTATTTTAAATCTGTTGATATGTATAGGTTTTCTCTGGTTTAATTAATATGTTAAAAGTTGTTATGTGTAATTCACATCAGTGTAAGTTCTTTCAGAGTCTTGAGTAATATTAAGAATGTAAAGAAATCCAAAACGTTTGAGAACCACGGGTGTAAGCAATATTATTCAAGCTAGATAATGTTGGTTTACAAAGGCTGGCAAATCTGTGCTCACACTCTGTTAAAGAAGTTAGAAAATGTTCTGGAAGTGTTTAAAGCATATTACCACCAAATTGAGACTTTCTTCTTGATATAAAGAAAGATTAAAAGAATATTAAAACAAATTATTTTCCTCACTATATAACTAATGTTTCATGCTGTCTGTATATAGTTCCTATAAAATGGATATTTAATGCTGTCTGTATATAGTTCCTATAAAAATGCATGACCTCTTGAGTGTTCTATCTCTTTGACATATAAATTATGGGTATAATGATCATTTGGTGGAGATATTCCTTGCTTGTTTTTCCTTTTGCTTCCACCTTTTTAATAATTTTAAATACACATATTTATTGCCATTGATTTTCTGTCATTATTGTTGTAAAACTTGGACAGATACAGTCTTTCCAATCAGATTCTATTTGATGACTCAGAAACATGATGTGTGTTAACAGCCAAATTCTGAACTGTGGCTAATAAAAACTGCTTTCTTTAACCAGCATCTAACACATTCATGCAGCCCCAGTCCTACATACATTTAGTTGGCTGCCTGGCATCCAAGGCTTGACTGATGCTAACAGTGTCTGGGCAGTGTTCAGAACTCATACTTTTTTGCTTCCAGATTATAATTTTCTTCATTATTTTGGTGAATGCTCATTTTGGTTCCCATTTCAACACTATGTGTGACAGTGCACTGAAATTAGTTATTTGTGCCAAGGGAAAAGAATGGGCCAAAAATCATTATTTTCTTAACTGATTTGAGGTGATGCAGAAAATATTTTACTTGTAAAATGTTATTACATTGAACTCCAGGAGACTTTCAAAGTGTTTTGTTTTCAGCTAATTCAGTTATAATGAATATGTGGGTAGCAATAACTTCCTTTTTGAGTAAACATTCCAAAGAACAGTCAGATTCTTCCTGTAAAATATATACATGTAGAAGGAACACGGTAGGGACAAAGAAGATTTCCTAAAATGAAAACTTAATCTCTAGGAGAAAAGACTTGTATGTTTTAATCTCCCCTTTATCCTCAGTGCCAAACATCATGTGCAGCATATGATGGGCACTGAATAAGTGAATGAGCACTTTTCCTCCATTATATTGCTGAACAGGTAGGTGGTAAGGATTTGGAAATTTAAGAGTAATTGTTACTTACTGATAGAACAAAGAAATATGAAGATCTAAATTAATACTTATATTTCCTTCCTCTCAGTAGAACATTCTCCCCACAGTTTTGTATAAAGCTAGGGGCGGGGGGAAATCACTCTAGATGGTTGTTAGTTTGAGCATGTATGATAATTATATAAAAGCAATTTTTGTCATAATTGAATAATGATTCTTACCTTAAAAGCAGGGAATTATTTCCTTTTTCATGCCATGCCATTGCTGTTTTTTCACTTTTTATTCAGTTTGGAATATTGGTTTAACGCTCTACTTAAAAAAAAAAAAGAAAAACTCTATGCTCTTTAACAAGTGTCTTTCCAATTTCAAGAAAATATGATGCTCATGCTCATATGATGGAGATGAGCATAAAATTTATCATGATAGCCTTTATTTAAGCAGTCAATATTTATTCAGCTGACCAGTACTGGACACTGGGGATACAGTTTTGAGCAAAACAAGCATTTCTGCTTTCACAACCTATAATAGAGGAGCAGAGGGACATTAATCAAATAATCATAAAGATAAGTACACAAAGGGTGCTATAAAAAGGCATTAAAATGCAGATCCTACTAATACATAGCATATAGGGAATACACATTAAGTTACTTTGAATGCTTTACCAACTCTATAAGCTAAGATACAACATTAGGATTTTTCAAAGAACCATACTTTGTAATTGAAAGATTATTTTTGAGGTTTTACTTACCATCCTAATAGCTGATAGTTATTAATTGATAATTTATGTGTCAGATATAATGTCACATACTTTATGTGCATTTTCAAATTCTTGCAAAAACCTTCAAAGTAAGTAATATTATTCTTGCTAAGGAAATTTAGGCTGAGCAAGGTTAGATAATTTGCCCGAGGGTGTGCATGTAGGACCTGCTGGAACTTACCTTACATGTTCACCCATCATGCCACTCCCTGTAGTCTTTTAAAGTAACCAATTTAAAGTGATATTGCACATGAAAAAAAAAAAGAAAGAAAGAAAAATAAAGTGGATAGTGTGTGCCCAGTGCCTTTTGGTTTAAAAAATATGATTTTGTTGGGTGTTAAACCTCCAAATTTTACTTTTTTAAAAAAATCAGTTAATATTTATTGATTATCATGTTTGTGCCAAGGTGAAATAATTAAGTTTCCTACCTCAATGCCCTACATTCCTTCCCTCATCCAAAGATTTTCCTGATTTGCTACACACAGTCAGGGAATGGTTATATTTTAAAGAAACATCTGTTAATATGGTCACACATATTTCCACCTTAGTGAAGCAAGTCACTAATGATTTATGCATATGAGTTTAATAACCATTTCTCTTTTGTCTTGTTACTTAAGAATATGAGTTAAGTTTTTTTTTTCTCCTGCAAGTCCTATAGTTCTAGCCCTATTTTCAAAATTATAAAACATCCCTAGAAATCACTTAATTTAAGCAAAACTATGAGTACTTTTGACTATTTAATCATTTATGTGTTTAATGACTGTCACTTATTGAGTAAATATTATTTACCACCTATTATGTGCCAGTACTAAGCTCTGTGATGAGGATTAGTAGTGCACAAGGAAAATCCCCACCTTCATGGAACTTCCATTATAATTGTTTATATATCCTTAGAAACTGGAGTTTTTCTAACATGTGTAAATTGTCCTGGTTTGCCATTATTTATTTAGCCAGGCAGTTTATGTTAAATGTTTTGTATATAAAGAGACCCAGAAACTTGGAAATGCATTTAACAAGTCCAAGTTCTCAAGTAATGGAAAATTTTTTTTGCAATGAAGAAACTTCCCTTCACAAAATGTTTACTCATACACTTAAAATATTGTGAAGTATCAAGTTAGTTTGTTATGTGGTCAAGTGCCAAAATACCAGGATGATGACATAACTGACATGGCGATCAGTGTGAAGTGATAACACAATGCTCTGTTTTTAAGTGATAACACAATGCTCTGTTTTTAAGTGATATTTGTTATGTGTGCAGTTCTAGGAGGTAAAAGTGAAGATGTACTAATTTGTTGGGGGTGTTGAGGCTAGAACAGTGCTCCCTAACCTTGCTCATATAATGCCACACATAGAGATTGATACCTTTTTTGGGTAAATGTATGAGACTACCTACCCTGATATTTTCCACCTGTGACCCTGCCTAGTGCTCTCAAGAGCTGA